GTGGTTTTTCTTCAAGGTTTCCAAAACAAACACGTAAATATGGCGGGATATTTGAAATTTAATACATGTTTTTTATATATTTTTTTTACAAAATTACCTATGAAATATACTTAAAATCATACTTGACTATTTATAAATAATTTATTTATAATATTGAAAAAATAATAATAATACATACATACATAACAAAAATTAAATTAATAATTATATTATAATTTAATTAATTTAGTAAATGACAACTCTCCACTTTCTGGATCTAGATTAGCTTTAGCACCTTCCGATGAAATTCATTTTACAGTTTTATTATGTATTCCACATGCTTCAGACGTATTTTATTGTGCTTGAAAAAAAATTTAGACATTTTGGGTTGCAATAAGTCCTCGGACTAATTTATTTATTGAGTCAATATATTTTAACTAGAAAAAAATGAGTTAAAATTAAAAATACAATGATGATAATAATAATAATAACAGTTAAAAAATAAACAAAAATCACACACGCACATGAAAACAGCATACTGAATACGGTAACGCAGAGGTTCCCAAACTGTGTTCGCGACTCAAAAGTGAGTCACAATTATATTTTTAATGGGTCGTGGTATATTTTTTAGACACGTGTTTTTATTAACTTTCGTAGATACTTAGATTTATCATAAATCCTTGTCAAGCTTACTGCGTCTCAAGCTAGCAAATATTGAAGTGAATATCAATGTAGTAATGAAACAATTACACCCTTAATATTAAAATTAGGTAYATACTTATTAATTAAACTAATATATTAGAAACTTTTTTTATTAACTAAATAAATAATTATAAAAATTCCTTGATAAAATTCTTAATATAAAATAAATAATAATATACTGTTCTTTAATTCAAAATGACTCTCATATTTTTATTTTTTATTCGTTACAGGAAAAAAGAAGGTTATTCTAGGTAGTCAAAATTTAAATAATTTCCAAAATGGGTCTTAATATAACAAGTTTGGGAACTTCTGCGGTAGCCGGTAATGTGTATACAACGAAGTCAACAACAAACTAGACTATCAAGAATATCTTAACTGCAGGTCCAGCTGCTCAGTAGTACACAATACAACAATGATAAGGAATGTACAACTTTTCATATGTCCTTAAGTCCTGATAAAACAACGAATACATAAAATTCGGAATCGTTATTGATCGAATTTAAATGCTCGAGCTCTATTTTCCAGCCTAAATTGTGAACCCCTGGTCTGATTAAAAACCACAACTCAGCGTAGGTTTCTGACAGTGTTTTTTTTTTTTATTAAATTGTTGTGTGAATCTCTATATAAACACAAAGTACTTAAACTTAAAGGAGTTGTTAGGAAGGGTTTGATGGTGATAATATTAAATATCCTTCTTAAGTTTTTAAAATTTGAATTTTGTCTAATTTTTATGGTCATGCATTCAAAGGACATTTTTGGATAGTTTTATTAAACGTTGAAAAATACTTTCCATGGTAAATTTAATAACAGCGTTAATAAATTTTTCCCGACGCTTAGTTAAAAGGACGCTACATTCGCATGTGTTGTATCCGTCGAACAAGTGCGTAGCATCATAGCAAATTTTACGCTCAGCAGATCACGTTTATCTTCGTTAGTTCAAAATTAAGAGTGAAATAGTGAATTGATCTATAGTAAAAATTAAAGGCAAGATTATTATCTAGGGCAACTCGTGGACTTTTTATTATATTTTAATCTTAAAACGAGTTATGAGTGTTTTTAGATAGGTACACAAACAATTTACAATTTTAAAATATTCATAACTCGCTTTAAAATTAAAATATCATAAAAAGTCCATGAGTTGCCACAGATAATAATCTTGCCTTTAATTTTTACAATAGGTCAATCCACTCTAAATTTTAAACTAACGGAAATAAACGTGATTTGCTGAGCGTAAAATTTTCAATGTTACGCACTTGGACAACGGAGAYAACACAAGCGTGGCGTCCTCTTAAAACATTACCATAAACTAAGAATATGGTACTTGTTTAATTTCTTTACATTCTAAACCAAATAAGTCCGCAATGAACAGTGATTATGTAACGCTATCTACTTGGTGAAATATTAACTATTCGGCTGTTTATATAAGTTAACTTTTCTAATGCGTTGTGTATAGGCAATTATCTACTTGATTAATTTTGTAGCATTAGTTTCAGGAATATTTAATTTTCTATATTTTTTGTACCCGTATTAATAGCGTTGAATTAAAAAATATTTTTTTCTATTTGTATAGGATTAACGATTTCATAAAATTATGGTGAATGGCTAAATATAGAGAGATTTGAAATTACAATATTTTGACATCAAGGCTCTCAAGTTAAATATTATTCATTTCATTATTTTTAAACATTACCTAGAATAAGTAGTTAGAATAGGATTACAACTTACTATTACCACATGTTGTAAACGAAAAGTTTCAAACAAAACATTTTCTAAATGATTAGGTTGATTCAACTTGTGTGAAAATATGAAATGGTATATTTTTAATAGGATTTATAGAATTCTACCATATTATTTTCAAACCAAATAATATTGTTACTAACTAACCATCAATAAAATTTACTTGTTTAGTTATATCATAACATTTAAAGTAATTAATTACCATAATTTTGATTTTGAAATGGTACCTATATAAAAATAGAAATTGACCTGACCTATCTAAAGTATTATCTCTTTTTAGTTTTTACTGTGAATGTACAAATCAATTACATCGACAAAGGAAACATTTGAATATTTTAAAGTTCCTTAAATGATTTGAATATATTATGATGTAAAATATATGGTTTAGGGTTACCTGTGTTAATACCTATAGGCAAGGCTGGGCATTAACGAGTTAAAAAGTTAAAGTTAAGTTA